ACGCACCTATATGCAAAGCATTGTCATGATAAACTTATATGATGCTATTTTTTTTTTATTGGTTGTTATTAAGCACAAATCTACACAATGGGCTATCTGTGCTCTGCCCACCACGCTTATCAAAATCCGAATTTTGGCGTTGTAAGCTGTGAGACTTACTGTTGAGCCACCTGGGGGCAACATATGGTGTTAAAGCAATATAATTACTTATACCCCTCAGAAATTAAAACCTATAATTTAATTTGAACCATATTTTTGCAAATATTTACTAAATAATAGTGTTTATCATATATCGTTTCTTTTCCTTCTCATATCCAGCAATTCTTTCAAACATTTTTGTAAGATATCAAATGGCTCTTAATATCTTAAAATTTATTTGTTTTAGGATCAAACTATTGAATGGGTTCTTTGTGTTTCGTTCTACCCAGGAACTGAACCCCGATTTTTAACATTGTAAATCTCGAAGCTTACCGCTGAGCCACAGGGAAAAAATCTTAAGAATGAACAAGAAGACGACAAAGAAATAAGTACCAGTTACATATCATGTTCTCTAAAATTGGAAAATACAATAATTGATCAAATAGTTTTTGAATGTTGTTAGTTGCTGTTTAGTATGCTTATAAATGTACAATGTTTATAACCGTTGGAGTTTTTCATCGTTAATTTTATATACAAACCCAGAATCATGTTTAAAAAATCAGGAAACATAATAATAATTTCTGACACGCTTGTAGTCTAACAACAAAAAACATGTTATATATCAACAGCTGTGTCTTTATACATGAAATACTCAGTACAAACACAAGAAGAGTTATTAGCGTATAAGACAACTTATATTACTTCGTATATTCAAGTCCATAAAAAATGCAATAATAGGTATATTATTTTGAAGTCTCAAAAAATAAAATAAAAAATATATTTATTTTTTGCTGTTGGAGAATTCACCCTTAAGACTTATAAGTAGGCGAGGTACACTGTGACCCATAAAACTTCAAAAAGGCAGGATCAGTCCTACGGCCTCTTCTGAATAGTTTGTTAAATATGTTTAACACATATGAGCTGAACAAGGCCTAGATTTGTTTATATACTACAAAGGGTTTTTTTACACGCTGTCAAGTGACCTATTATAATAAAATTGTATTTATATACAGCAATTGAAAATATATAAATGGAAACTGAAAAAATAAAATAAATTCGTAGATTAAAATGTACGACAGTGTGTATAGACTGTTCAATAACTGTCGTTGAATTGAATAAATAATAATATAGTAGGGGTAATACCTCTAAGTCTAAAGTTCTTACAAAGTACGTACAGTGATAGTGCTGGGTGAACCTTGCCGACAGCAGGATATCCTTTACACGGATATTCTTCTTGTCTCTTCAAAATCAAATTCAATTTAAATAAAACCTACTTAACATTTTTAGAAAATGCTTGTGTTTTCCTATAAAGCTTTAAAATATATCTTTAATTGTTTAGAATATATACATTTATATGCATTTCTTTATAACGGAGACATAACGAAAAATTAAGATTTTAATGCTTTTGCAGACACTTCTATTATTATCTGATTCCTTCAACGAACCTTTCTTGATAAATGCTCCTAGCTAATGATATGCAAGGGAAAAATATGGAAATAATATGGTATTTTAAATAACGAACTAAAACACAAAATTAATACGAATTCTAAATCTTCCAAATATAATACAAGCATTTATTTATGACTATGTTTTCAAAATAGACATGTAAAAATGAGCATTTCTTACCATTCTTTGAAAAATATGCTTGCGTTTTTTTATTAGTATTTGAATAACAATATTTAATGGATTAATTTTGTTCCATTAAGATTTAAGATGAACCCTGTAATCTCGCTTACTTAAGTTTGACAAAATCACAATTGGTGATTACTGAAAGTTTCTACTGTCAGTTTTACAAGACTTGTATGATTGATAATTCTCTGTCGTATACAGTAAAACGATAATTACAAGCTTATATGAACACCATTATTTCTGCTTGATTAAAGCTCGATGTAATAATATGTTTTTGCGTTGCATACATGACAACTTACTTGTCTTATGAACACCGTATTAGCCCAAGAAATAAAGCTTGACTGGTTTAGGACAATGAGCGTTATCTCACAATGCAGTTAACACTAAAACGTGATACCAGTATTCAGATATTTACAATGATTTGAATAATTTTGGCTGCCGTAAAAGTTCGATCCGTAATAAATAACCCTTTTTGGAACACCATAAGTCACTTCAGAAAAATTGGGATACTATAATTACAAATTCCTAGATTACTTAATAGCTCTTACTTCAAGCAAAGTGCTCCCCAGTGGCACAGTGGTATGTCTGCGGACTTACAACGCTAGAATCCGGGTTTCGATACCCGGGTGGGCAGAGCACAGATAGCCCATTGTGTAGCTTCGTGCTTAATTACAAATAAAGCAAAGTACTGAAAAAGTGTCAAACTCATGCAATGAAACTCAAATGTACGTGACATCATGTGACCCAGAGATGGATTTTATGCCACTTATACCTATATACGTTGTTATATTTTATTACTGTACAGTAGCAACATTGTGTGACGATTTTATTATTATACATTTATTTTAATATCAACGTTTGTTAAGATTAAGTTTATGTTTAGAAGTATGAATAGCTTATAGTGTCAAATATGTATTTCGAAACTCCCGCTTATTCTCTAAAGTAGGCCTGGCATGGCCAGGTGGTTAGGGCGCTCGACTCGCAATCTGAGGGTCGAGAGTTCGAATCCCTTTCAGCCGTGGGGGCGTTATATTACGTGATGGTCAATCCCACTATTCGTTGGTAAAAGAGTAGCCGAAGAGTTAGCGGTGGGTGGTGATGACTAGTTGCCTTCCCTCTAGTCTTACACTGCTAAATTAGGGACGGCTAGCGCAGATAGCCCTCGTGTAGCTTTGGCATAATTCAAAACAAACAAACAAACAATTCTCTAAAGTTGTAGAAGATTATCGAGAGAAAGAATCAACAATATGTGTATGTACATAAACGCTTGTGTTAGCATCAGTATTATTACGTAAAACTGAAAAAGGGTATCTATCATTAGTTCGTTATAGTCAGTATGCTATAAACTTCGGAAGCTATAACTATGATTGATATATCGTTTATCAATCGGAAAACTTCAGATATTTGACCAGAAACATTTACAAAGTTCGAACATTACAAATCATTTAACTTCAGTGGATTCTCATCGGACATTAGCACTTTTACGAAAACATTAACTAACTTCAACGGTGGAAAACTCGGCGTGTATGGCTAGCGAATAACGAAGGGCAAAGCTAGCTAGCTCCCTGTCAAATAAATTATACCTACGTCAACTCATAATTAATTCGCTCATCGTGAACTCTCGATAAGATATCGAAGAAGTTCCAGACTAGAAAGAAGACTTTATATTGCTTGTAAGTTTGTGAAACTTTTGTTTATAAATCATTGTTTGTAATAACTATTTGTAGTAACTGTTATTGTAAATTGTATTGTTGTGTGTATATTAAAACGTATTTTGTGTTAAAAAAAAGAAAACTATGTGTATCAATTTTGTTGGCAAATACCATAAACTGACTATATATCGGCTTTTACTTAACTGATAAATCCAAAGTACAATTTAACTACTAAATTTAAATTTATCAGTTAACTCAATTTCAGGCTATTTGAAATTCTAATACGTAACATAATAAATTGGTGGCTCGTGTCAGAGATCTGAAGCAGAGACAAAATTCAATCTAAATTAAAATTTATATCATAATTCATTTTATATTTATCAGTCCCAAAAAGACTTGATCATGTCTGATTATCAAGATTTTCTTGAATCAACCTCCCTCGAACAACTAGAAAGATATAACAAAAATGAGTTACCCAAAATTGCCAAAATTTTAGAACTAGAAGTTAAAACATCAATGAGAAAAAATGAGCTAAAAAAAGCGTATTATCGAAATACTAGTCGATGATGATTTTTTGCTTGAGGAAGCATTAGAGGAATACTCTAGTGTCTTTACTAGCCAATCGGGGTTGAGTGATAAAAATAAATTAGAGATCCAGCTAAAACTCAAACAAATCGAGCTTGAAGAAGCTCGTATCGAAGCTGAAAGAGAATAGTAACAATTGTTTGTTCTACTATCCTATGTATATAGAGCATTAAAATTGTTTGTTCTACTGTCCTATGTGTATAGAGCATTAAGATTGTTTGGTCTACTATCCTATGTATACAGAGCATTAAAATTGTTTGTTCTACTAGCCTATGTATATAGAGCATTAAAATTGTTTGTTAAACTGTCCTATGTATATAGAGTATTAAAATTGTTTGTTCTACTAGCCTATGTATATAGAGCATTAAGATTGTTTGTTTTACTATCCTATGTATATAGCGCATTAATACTCCTTCGTATTTTCATTGTTGTTGAACACTACTGCTTTGTAATTTTAGAAGGGAAGTATGATTGATTTCGAAATACTTGTTTCTATGGTTCCGTCCACGTTTCAACGACGACTTACGCAAAATGTTTCAAAGCCGGTCGTAAGTGTTTTTATTGAGGTTTGTTCTATATTAAAAGCCTCAAGGCTAATTGAAGAAAATACGTTGCTATATCGTAGTTATCTGTTTAACCCCGAACTGAAAAGAGAATTTCAAAATCTACTAGTCGTAACTGTTTTTTTCTAAGAAAGAGTTTTCTCCGGAACTCTGTTATACAAATGTTTAACATTATTAAATTACCTCTGTTTTGTGACTTGCCCTTGTATAGCTTCCATAACAACAGGAAATATTCTCTGAAAACATTAAATTTGTCTCCTTGGAAAGGACAACACAGAAGCAAAGTGTGTTTCTTTAGCAAACAATTACAAATCAATTAAAGTCCATTTTGTATCGTTTTGTATTATTTATAATTGCATTAAGCGGCTTCTCATTTAGCATTGTGGTAAAAGAATTTCCATAACCAGACCAGAGAACAATGGGACAGACATCGTTGAATGTTGATAATGGTTGCGTTTACTTTTATTCTTTTACAACAGAATTTTATCAATGTATGAAAAAGCATATGAATAATTGTTTAATAACTTTATTCATTGTTTGAGGCTGATTATTTTGTACATGTATCATTGTGTTATCACCGATAAGTCATAATAAATGTTTAAAATCAATTTATAATTTTAGAACATTAACGATTTTTAACACTTTGTTTGTCAAACTAACACTAAAAAAAAAGTTAAAATCAGCCTTGGTGGGTTAACTCAAACTTATGTCAAGAAAATATTTTTTGAACCTATTGATAAGTTGAAAAACTATTCGAAACATAAGCAGTTTATAGGTTATATATCATATTATGTAACATAAATTGTTATGCAAAATATTCACAGTCAATAACCAATGAAAAGCAAAACAAAAAATTTAAGATGGTCTTCTCACAGTCCGAAGTATATGGTAGTGGTTAGACGTTTAATGACAAAGTTGTCAAAACGTAACAGTTCCAGAATAAGGTCATAAAAACAACACTGTTGAGAACTGTTAACAGCTGAGAGTTTAAATCATAATGATACCATATTGATGTCAAAATCAAACTTGAGCGAACAAACAAATTTTATTCAGTTACACGTGTGAAACTCACACAATCTACCCAATTTCCGATGTACAGTATCACGTGTAACTTTTCGCGCAATTGTAAAAATTCAGAAACAAATATTTGTTATTACACGTGCTGCTTTGTACCGTTGTAAGGTTTCACATGTCTTGTCCATATTTCTGAGGCACTAAGGTTGCCAAGGTGTAAAAATGTTCTTGGTCCTGCATGCCCACTGTAGTTACGTGCTGAAAGCAGCAGGGTTGTGATATATCACACTTCTTTGGAAGTTTCACCTTTGTGGGCTTCGTCTTTCGAGTTTTGCCCATCTTTTTAGGCACTGACAATGATATATTTAATGGGTCCGATGTCAAACGATCGATTTCGTCAAGAAACTGTACAGCAGCAGCAGGATTATCAAAACTTAATCCTGCCATCTGCCGGTGATCATTCGATAAGCACAGTGTATGAAAGCAATCTTCTTGGGCTTTGTAATTAGTCAAATTATCAATTACGTCCCCCCAAAGAACAAAACCCGTGCCTTTCTCAGCCACGACGATTTGCAACCTCCTCCGATTTCTGGCTCGAGTATCGCCTTTATCGAATAGAAGTACAGGAACACCAGTCTTTTCAAGTTCCCATTCCCCAGGACATCCATAAGAAACTGCTCGTGTGAAATACAAGTTGGCTAAAGAATGGCACACATAAACGTAGGTTTTGTGACCTCGGAAAAACATTTCAATCTGAGACAAGTCTTGTTCAGTCAAGTCTGTGTCTACGCTGTGATTTTCGCTAATCTCAGAATCTTCAGATTCGCCTGGCGAGTTCGAAAATGACAGAGAGGTTAAAGATTTAGACAAGCGCTTTAACCCTAGCGTGTCATACTTTTCGGTGATTTTTAAAACAGCCTGCTTGTCCTGAGAATCATAAACCATCGAGGAATACAATTCATCACTCAATTCTGTTTCTGCTTTCGACAAAAATTCCGTTGACGAATATACTATTTTAGTCTCAGGATGATTACTTAGATTTTCAACAGGCTTCTTTTGACCATACATGATTTTCGTTGTTAAGTTTAATGAATCGTAGATAGGACTCTCTTTTGTAGCAACGTGCTGAGATCCTTCTCTGTTATTGAACATGTTTGTTATTAATTTTCACATATTATACATTTTGACGTTTGGTTTCTATTGCTCATTTTGACTATAGACTATTTAAGTACTTTGTTGATACATTTTCAGAAATGCACGTTACACATTTCATCTAAGTCAGTGTTAATTGTTTTCTTTCCCTTGCACTGGAAACAAAATGTTATCTTTCCTATGGAACACCTTCAATACGAAATGGGACCATAATCTCGACTCCGTGTAATCTTCACTTGTGTTAAATCTTATGCCTAAAAAAAATAGAAATAAAAAATGAATAAATTAATTGATGATTTTTCATCCACGACATAACAAAATAATGGGCAGGTAATAACTAATGATGTCCCCGGTGCGTCAGTGGTAAGTTTAAGGACTTAAAACACTAAAATCTGGGGTTCTATCCCCCACGATGGAAACTGTGACTTTACTTTAAAAAAGCAAATTACATGACGCATTCCTCATGAAATATTAAACAGAATATGAAAAGATAAGGGTAGGAAAGAGTTTCTATTGGACAAAATAACCATTTGGTTTATTACTAGAAACTTCTAATTAACCTCATTCCAACCCCAAATTAATTTTATTTTGTTCAAAATTATTTGGTTTATTTCATTTTTAGCGTAAACGTTCGAAACTTTTAGTATAAAAATACGCTTTTGTGACTATTTAACACTATTTTCGGAAGAGAAAAAGCGTAAGACGTATAAAGTAGTTTAATCCGTAGAAAATCAAAATTATAAGACGCATTAAAGATTTTTCAAATCGTAAATTAAGAGTGCTTAATGTACGTAAAGTAGTAAATATGGCTAACTATAGATATATATATATATATATACCATAAATACAATACTATTATTATATTGTTTAATTGTAGTATACATTACATACATAGCATAAGAGTCTTAACATCTAATGATTAATTCAGTCTGAATAACATATATAAATGATTAGTTTCATTATTGCTAAGGTACATTAAATACATCAAACTATAACAAAATCCTTGTAAGTAGAAATAAAGTCATGAGACTAAATATTTAGGTACATTTAAAGTACAAAATACTTCTAAGATATCTTGCTTTATGTCTTTCAGTCTCAAGTCACATATGTGTCCCTCTCTAAAGCACTGCCAAGTTACATATATATCCCCTTTCTAAAGCATGCTATGGGCACATATATGTCCTCCTCTAAAGCACTGCCTTGTCATATTTATGTTCCACTCTCAAACACTGCCATACGCACATATATGTTTTCCTTCTAAAGCACTCTTATGGATATACATATCCCCCTACAATAGGATTGTAGTGACTGTATATATATAAGTTTTGAAACATGTGATATTAAGTAAATTTTCTGTAAAGTAAGCAATAAACTCAATCATTCTATAATGAATTTTAAAGTATTATGTTGCATAATAGCATTCAAATTTTGAAAATAATTGCATGGATAATCAATTTACTAAATACTTCTTATATGATCATCTGTAAAATATTTCAGATAATTATCTCTAAAAATAATATTGATATGACAAATAATAAGCGAAATAAGGGGGGGGGGGTTGACCTCATATGACATAAAGAAAAGCAACAACAAAAACACAATGGCATATAAAGGATTAAAACAAAAGTAGTAAACATTATAAGTACAGCATTGGTGAGTTCAGGTAACGCAAGTAGTAAGCATTATAAGTACAGCATTGGCGAGTTCAGGTAACGCGAGAAGTAAACATTATAAGTACAGCATTGGTAAGTTCAGGTAACGCAAGTAGTAAACATTATAAGTACAGCATTGGTGAGTCTAGGTAACGCAAGTAGGAAACATTATAAGTACAACATTGGTGAGTCCACGTAACGCAAGTTGTAAACATTATAAATACAGCATTGGTGAGTTTAGGTAACGCAACCTATAGGTGATCACGATGCCAGAAAGTATATGCTGTTCGAGAGTTTTTATGCATTACGAATCTGGAAAGATTTAAAATGATATGATAAAAAACACTTCACGTGTAGCTCTAATGCATAAAGAGACTTTTCGTAACTACTTTAGAGAGCTTCAATTCATCTTCAAGTGAAGGAACTGTTTCAAATATTCATCAAACTTGAGCAAAGATCAATGAATATAAGAATAAATATATAGGAATTATATATGTAATTAACTCAGATAGTGGCTAGCTTTCACTACATGGTTAACATCTGTCCGTAAAGTTCTCACTATGAACATATAATATCTATGTATGTGTATATATGTATAAACACACACCCACACACATGGAAACACTGAAACTATAATGAAATTTTTCCTTGCTTTTCCCACCGGTTTTCTTAAAATCACAATTTCAAGCTTAAGGCAGTTCTTGTGTCAAACTGACGCATTTAATAAACGTTGTTTGGAAATTTTTTCAACACAGAATACAAAAACATTACAAAAATAAAAGAATAAAAGCTCAGATGCCTATGTTTAGATTTTTTTTAATTGTTTCGGAAAATATAATCATGAACATAAAGTTTACTGTATAAAGTCTGAATATAAAAGTAAATAATATCACTTTTATGCAATGCAAAGGATAAGGTTGGTTTGTTCACCTGAGTGACACCTAATGCACATAATGGAATAAGCGGACAGATTACAGACCTTCATGATTCAGACAAAAACGTCCCTAATTTTAAATGCGAGACAGAGGGAAGGCAACCAAACGGCAGTAACCGCCCTCTGAAGCGGCTATTTTTAACCGAATAATGGTGTTGGCCATAACTCTTATAACGCACCCATAGCTGAAAAAGCTTTTGAATCCAAGACCCATGGATCCCTAATTCAATACCCTAACCACTAGGTCATGTTAGGCCCTAAAGGATAAGGAAGCACATGTTCTGACAGACAACTCAAAACTAAACTAGTTTATGGTATTTTAGCAACGTTAGAACTTTGTGTAAAGTTAGGGGGTGAGAACTTTACTTGTTAGAAAGCAAACCATATAATCATAATGAAGATCTTAATCTTTCCGTTTGTTTGTTGATAAGCATAAAGCTATACAACAGATAATCAGTGATGTGCCCACCTCAAAGATGAAACCCCCGAATTTTAGCGTTATAAGTCCACAAACTTATCGCTGAGCAACCAGCGGACAACAGGTTTTCTAAATTAAATCTATGAAGTTTAGTACTCGTTCCCGAAGTAATCTGATAGATCTGAGACTATTTCACTGAAATTGAAACTAGAGAGATAAAAATGTAGTTACAATCAACTGCTTCAGGCAAGTGGGAATGATTACGTAATGATAAACTCACGGATACATTCGCCGCGTACACCCATATGGTGGTGTGTCCTGTATATCACATGCTTTTGAAATGGCTGTAAATCAAGGTCAGCATCCCCATACAGCAATAGCACAATAATCTGTGATGTAACAACCTGCCCCCTTTACTAGTAACATCGCAATGCATCAACGAAATTTCATAACGATAAAAGCTCTGACATTTCCACTGTTTTACCTTCTCTTCACCATCTAAGGCTCTGACAGTTTCAGCATTTCCACTGTTTTAACCCCCATTCGCCACCTAAAGCCCTAACAATTTAGCATTTTCATTGTTTTAGCCCTTTTTTGCTGTCTAAAAACCTGACAATTTATCATTTGTACTGTTCTACTTTTCTTTGCTGTCTAAAAACCTTACACATTAGGATTTTCACTGTTTTACCTTCTCTTTACCATCTAAGGCTCTGACAGTTTCAGCATTTCCACTGTTTTAACCCCCATTTGCCATTTAAAGCCCTAACAATTTAGCATTTTCATTGTTTTAGCCCTTTTTTGCTGTCTAAAAACCTGACAATTTATCATTTGTACTGTTCTACCTTTCTTTGCTGTCTAAAAACCTTATACATTAGGATTTTCACTGGTTTACCTTCTCTTCACCATCTCTTTGAAGATAAGAACCTTTAGTGATTAATTCTTATTAAATATTTCTTATACTCTCTAGTCTTATCTCCGTGATGACAAGAGTCTTCTATGTTACATAGCTCAACTGTATTACAATTTTGTACAGTTAGCTGGAGAGATTATATAGAAGTTTCATAAAAATAAAATAACAAATGAAACTTGATCAGTTGACATATCAACTTTGATGATAATCTGAATTTTTGCACATAGAATAACCCACATTAATTTCATACAAGCCTAAAAAGGAACTAATATACTAATATTTTGAACAAAGAAATTAAATTCACATTAATTTTTTTCTGTTGATAGAACTTTTGTGATGATCTTACATTCAGTTAAATTTTATAAAAAGTTTTCACTTGTTTCAACATTATAAGACAACACCACCTTTACAGCTGCTTCTTTGACAGGTGCTTTAAAGAAAAAGCCTGGTTCAAATATAGTAACATAAGATTAAAATTGCTACTAAGCATGTTACAGATATTCCAAATGAAGAATCAGAATTCCAAGATTATAGTACACGATCTCAGTTGCATTCATTTACACATAGAAAGAAACTGGCAACACAACAGAATACTTTTATATCATAAAAATAAAATAACAAATGAAACTTGATCAGTTGACATATCAACTTTGATGATAATCTGAACTTTTGCACATAGAATAATCCACATTAATTTCATACAAGCCTAAAAAGGAACTAATATACTAATATTTTGAACAAAGAAATTAAATTCACATTAATTTTTTTCCAAACAGACTATAAACCAAGACTCTGTGCTACAAATGTATCCAAATCTGTCTCAACAATACCCGCTAATGGTCCTATGACCTCACAGCCACGTTGAAAAATGTCAACATTATGATCACTGTTTAATATGAGCTTTGTGATATCTAGAATATGAATTCATTTTCCACCTTTAAATTACAGAAACCTGAATCGACAAATATAAAAATCAGTTAAAGGATCAAACACTGAAATTGTAAATATAATGGACACTCATGATTTGTTTGACATGTGGCAACACGCTCTACTGAATAAGCATAAACTTACCAGTTTGAGATAAAGAGTCTTAACTTTATACCACAAGATGCACTTAAGCTATATATTAATAATTTCGATTAACGTATAAAAATCTACTGGGATTCTTATGTCGGATTCCCCGAAATATAGAATTGTCATTTCTTAAATTATAGGCCCGGCATGGCCAGGTGGTTAGGGCACTCGGCTCGCGGGTTCGAATCCCAGTCCCACCAAACATGCTCGCCCTTTCAGCCGTGTGGGCGTTATAATGTGACAGTCAATCCCACTATTCGTTGGTA